GTCCCCCTTTGTAATGTACAGCGATGAGCAAACTGCTGGCGCTTTATAAATACTGTATAATAATAATCTTTATGGCCACACTGCCCTTGGCTTGTGCATTTCTCTAGACACGGGCTTTGAAAGGGTTAAATGCTCTGCTGCCTTGAAGAAGACAGACTCCACAGACATAAACACAGCAGTGTGACCTCCTTTGAAATATGCTCATCATTTGTGGGCATCCCTTCCCAAACCAGATGCCTTGGATTTAAATGTAGTACAGAGAAAGGCAGGTAAATTATGAAGGAGAAATGGGGTCCCCCCACTACAAGGGACTGATCTGAATGTAACCGAATGCAAGAAGCAATTATAGGGAAAGCATACTGTGTTTTTAGTGAGCATGTATGTGATTTCAGTGATGCCTTTTTGTTGCAGTTCCACTTTTATTGTAGCGCCCTGGTCTCACTAGCTAGGCCACACAGCTGTTTGTGAAATCAGCCTGACCCATGCATGTGTGGTTTATAGCCTACTCTAGGCCAAACGTATTGGCACAGAAATTTAAAAAAAAACTTGTCCTAAATAACTCTTTTTCTGCCCCTTTCCTGCTGTTGTGGTAAGTATAAGGTTCCATGCACACTAGTGATTTTAGTTTTTGTTTTTTATTCTTTTAAGCTAAAAAAAAAATGCTGGTAATAGTGTTTAATTTGCCTTCAGAAGCGTTTAGGAGCGTTAGCATTTTTACAGTATATGTAGAGAGAAAAAAGTTTTTAGGAGTGTCTAGTGTTTTTTATCTTCTGGAAAAACACTCCAAAAAAAACGTACTTTTTCTGCTCCTAGATGCTGAAACTCGAAAAATGCTAATAGCCTAGAGTAGTGTGCATGGACATATAGGATAATACATTTAGCAGAAAAGAGCAGAAGAAAAATGCTAACAGCCTCTAGGACAGCCTTTTGCAACCTTTTCAACACGGAAGAACCCTTGAAATAACATTCTGGTCTCAGGGAACCCCTGATATAAAGTACTATATCTACAATTCATCATACATTAGTGTGATGGTCAGTGGGAGGATTGCTCCTTACACTTGTGGTCATTGGGAAGAATTAACCCTCTTACAGATGGTAAAAAAAAAATGAACGGTGTCAGTGGGAACTTATTTGAGAGGCAGAAATTGCTCAAGGAACCCCTAGCAACATTTGGAGGAACCCTAGGGTCCATGGAACCGTGGTTGAAAAACCCTACTCTGAACTTGAAAAAAGTGTTGGTGTGCATGGAACCTTACAGTGCAGCAACATCGGATGTAAACTCAATGCGGTTTTTTGTTGGGCTCTGTGCGCACATAGAGGCTATTATGAACCTTTTTTTTTTCTGCTCCTAGAAGTGAACAGTGTCTCCCTCTTTGTCCATGCACACTGTTTTATGCTAGAAATGTTTCCTAAGCTTCAGTGTTTGGGAGCAGAACAAACATGTTTTTGGGATTGTTTTCCCAGCAGAAAAAAAAATGCTGAATGCTGCTAAACACTACTAAAATGCTCCTAGCAGCTTTTTTTTTTTTTTTTTTTTTTTTTTTTTTTTTTTTTACCCAAGCTTTTTATTTTCTCTTTATGTGTAAAACACCAACTCTCCTAAATGTTGACTACAAGCTGATTCAAAAAGGCTATGATCAGCATTTTTTATCCAGTGGTTTTTTGAGTTTATATGTTGTACAGTTGGCTTTGGGCACTGATTTGAGTGTCTGTAAGGCTCGGTTCACACTGCTGCGACTTGGGGCTCGTTCACACTTGGCTGTTTTACCAACGCTTGCCAAACGCCCCTATAGCATTTGGCAAGCGTTGGTCCGGCGTTTGCGAAGCGTTTTTTAACGCTCGGCAAATGCCGCATGCGTTTAGCGGCGGTTGCTAGGCGTTTGCCGAGCGTTAACACCCCACAAACGCCTATAATGCAGTTTGAGTGGTGTTACCGCTCCGCAAACGACCCGCAACCGCGTCGCAACCGCACCGCAAACGCCGGCTGGACGTTTGCGGAGCGGCACCATAGACGAGAATAGGAGGCTTCAACACCTCCTGACTCGACCACAGGCGTCCGTTTTGACGCAGCGCAAATGCTCCCGTTAGAATAGCACCATCTGCTGTAATGTGCAGAATGGCAGAGGCGTTTGGGAAGCGGTAAAAACGCTTCCCAAATGCCTCTATGCCGCCTGCACACAACGCTAGTGTGAACGTAGCTCTGGGATCCGACTTGTGAGATCCCGAGTCGCATGACATGTGAAATCCCATGTTAGTCAATGAGAGCTGTCTTAATTAGCACTACTGAAGTCCATCCGACTTTAGAAAAGGTACTGTGCTGCTCCAAGGTGACTTCTATCCGACTTGTGCCCATAGACTTTGATGGAAGTCGCCTTCAAGTCAGATCTTCATCTATATTGATGTGATCTGAATCTGAAATTACAGGAAGATTACCTGTAGCTGATGTTCTCATTGGCCACAAAGTCGCATCAAAGTAGTACTGAAGTCACATCAAGTTGCCAGCAAATCTGCAGGCAAAGTTGCACGACTTTCAGGTCACAGTAGTGTGACCCGACTCTAAAGCTGCCTGGTCACTTCTGTTAGCAGAAAATGATGTGATTGGTAAAACGCTGTGTTGGAGGGGAGTGCAGAGGAGGCATTAGGGGTTCAAGAGAATCTGGATACCTCTGTAAGCAGAACCTGTCACTCTACATATGTGATTATAAGGGGGTATTGTCACTCTCCTTGTAGTAGCAGTAAAGTTAGGTGAACAAGTGGGCTAAGTGGTTAGCACTTCCGCCTGGCAGTACTGGGGACGTTGGTTCGAATCCCAGCCACGGCACCACCTGCCTGGAGTTTGCATGTTCTCCATGTGCCTGCGTGGGTTTCCTCCGGATACTCCGGTTTCCTCTCACACTCCAAAGACATGCTGGTGGGTTAATTGGCTCCTGTCTAAATTGGCGCTAGTATGTGAATGTGAGTTAGGGACCTTAGATTGTACGCCCCTTGAGGTTTAGGGACAGCGCTATACAAGTACCTGTAATAAATAACAAAGTGTTTAACAGGTTAATTCACCTTTTCAGAAAAAAAATGAAAAGGTAAGCCAACGCTATACACCCTCCCCACCAATTCATCACTTTCTGATTTTGGGTCTCATAAAGTCCACATGACAATCTGATGTTTTTATTGTAAGTATTCACAGTTAAAATTACATTCCCTAAAGGATTGTGGTTATTTAATGGTCATTTAGTGATTTATGTTTCATCATGTAACATTTTATTGTAGTCCATGTGTTGTGTAATACCATGCAAGCAGTTGGCATGGGGAAGTAGACTTTGATCCATGAAACTCATGGAAGTCTATAAATTTTGAGGCAGAGTTCTGATTTGCGATATCCATGGTGCACTATTATTGTGTGCCAAAAACAGCCATGATTCTTGTAGAAGTTATGTATGGATGTCCATCAGCCCTGTAACCAGTCAAGCAGAGGATTTCATGTACTACATTACCAGCTACCAATGAAGTAATCCTTGACTTTGTACATCTGGCCTTAGTATGCGAAGGAGTGATGCGTGCACCATGATATTTACACAGCTTTTACCACGTTTAAAGTGCATTGTTGATGCTTTTAGGCTCCATACACACTGGCGTTTATTTTTAAGCACACAAAACACTGGAAAAAAAACTCTGCTAATAGCATTTTTAGTAGTGCTTAAGAATTACAGTACATGTAGGAGGGGAGGAAAGCTACAAAGAAAAAAAGCATTTAGGAGCGTTCAGCATTTTTTTTCTTGTGCTGGCAAATCGCTGCCAAAAGTACAGAAAAACATTTTGTAGAATTTTTGGGAGCGTTTTTCCGGCAGAAAAAAAGTTGAACACTCCTAACCGCTTTTTTTTTTTTTTTTTTTTTTTTTTTTTTTTTTTTTTTCTACTTTTTTTCTTTCTTTTTTTTCCCCTACATTACTGTAAAAATGCTAATAAAATGCCAATGCTTTGACAAAAACACTTCTAAGCATTTTTTTTTATCCAGCATTTTGTGAGCTTAAAGTAAGCCTGAAGGTAAGTTCACGTTCTTGTGCGACCCATTTGAATGGGCTGAAATCGCACTGGATCACACCAAAAGTAGTGCACGCATTACTTTTCGAAAATGCGAATGTTACTTGCGTATGCTCCCGAAACTGATACCTTTGGGTTGCAATTTAAACCCATACAAAATGAATGTGCTCAAATCGCACTGCAAAAAATTGCATGCAATTTGAACAGGAATGTGGTGCGATTCCTGTCTGAATAACATGCGATTTCTTGCACAGCTCATGTGTGAACCCAGGCTTGTCATAGTGACTTTGAGCCTGAGTTCACACATGAGCTATGTGGGAGACCTCCCTGTTTGACGGGTTCCACCAGCAGCTCCAGCTCCCATCCACTGGAACCCCTTCCCCATCCTCCACCCCCTGGTCCTGCTGTGCCAGATTGCCAATCCTCTGATGTCAGACACCCAAAAGCCACTTCAGCGGTCCGGGGATATGAAATCCTGTGGCTTTCTTTCGTCTCCTAGCAGTGCTGACAGTACAGGCTTGATGGCTTCTGACTGGTCAGCACCGTATGGGTGGAGTTTGCTTTGAATATTAACCACGTTCCGCCCGCCCTATAGTACAATGACGGGCGCAAGGTGGTTCTCTCGTTCTGATAAGACGTCATATGACGTCCTACCATTCTCACTGCGCATGCGCGGCTCAGGGAGCGCGCAGCGTGGCGATCGCCGGGACACAGCGGATCACGGAAAGAGCTGAAGATGTCGGCTCGGTCGTGATCAGCTGTGTCCAATCACAGCTGATCACATGTAAACACGGAATTGGCGGTTATCGGCATTTCTCTCCTCTCAAGCTGTCATGCTGACAACTCGAGAGGAGAGCCAGTAATTGGCTTTCCGCGGAGGGGACATGTACACTGATCATCAGGGCACTGATTAGTGTGGCCCCCAAAAGTGCCACCTGTCAGTGCCCATCAGTGCCCATCTGAGCTGCCTTTCAATGTCACCCATCAGTGCCAGTCAGTGCCACCTGTCAGTGCCCATCTGAGCTGCCTTTCAATGTCACCCATCAGTGCCAGTCAGTGCCCATCAGTGATGCCTGTCAATGCCCATCAGTGCCACCTATCAGTGTCCATCAGTGCCACCTATCAGTGTCCATCAGTGCAGCCTATCAGTGCTCATCACTGCAGTCTCATTAGCGCCCATCAGTGAAGGAGCAAAATCACTTATTTACAAAATTGTATAACAAAAACTAAAAAAAACTTTTTTTTTTTTTTTCTTCAAAATTTTCAGTGGTTTTTGGTTTGATTAAGAAAAAATAAAAATCCCAGAGGTGATTAAATACCACCAAAAGAAAGCTCTATCTGTCTCAAAAAAAATGATAAAAATTTCATATAGGTACAATGTTGCATGACCGCACAATTGTCATTCAAAGTGTGACAGCGCTGAAAGCTGGACATTGGCCTGGGCAGGAAGGGGGTATAAGTGCCCTGTAGGCTAGGGGTTAAAAAGGAGTTCGGTATTGTGTTTTGTATGTGGTGCTCAGATGCCACAAAGTGACGTGTAGCGTTTCATGTGTGTCTGTGCTGGACTGTGATGGTGACTGCAGATCAGAAGATGAGTCTTTACTGAGTTTACTCCAAAGCCGTCACCTGCTGTCCTATAGCAGGAGGTTCTCTTACACGGACTAGTAAGCTGTAGACTTTTTGGCACACGTGGACAGTTGACCAGCAGCTGGCCTCTTGTCCGAGGTCAATGCATTCTCGTTTTGTCATCATTCCCGATGTGTCCTTCTATATTAGATTTATACGGGTTATAAATAGCTTACCAAGAAGGTAATATGACCACTTTCTAAAGTTAAATTGTTGGATGTTCAGTAGCGCAATGCATGAAAACGTTCTTTTGAAGTCGATCTGTATTTATTGCTACACTGCTAGGTCATACACTCCAGTCAACATCAAACAACTCAACTATTTTTATTTTCCCACCCTGAAATACTGGCAGTGGCCCGGGATCACAACAGTTTGACCGCATTACAAGTGTGCGGCGGAGTAGAAAGTAGTCAGGGCGTGGTTTGAGTTGATGAAGTTTGAGCTGCATGAAACCTACAATTGCCTTTAAAGGATAAGTTCGCCTTTTGTAACATGTTACACTCGTATTCAGGATGTAACATGTTACGATCAGACCGGCCTTTCTCCCTCCTTTGACAGCTAGCGGGGGATCTTCTCCCCCACTCGCCCAGCTGCAGCACTCATTCTCAGCGTTCTGTGAATAAGAAACTACAAGTCCCGACAGAATTGTTGGCTCGTAGTCCTCAGTGGACTACCATGGTGCTGTGAAGCGCCGTGGTATTTCAATGATCCTTCCTGTCAGTGTATCTGCTTGCTCGTACATCCCGTACAGGCAAGCAGATATACCGACAGGTCTGCAGGAGACCTGCATGGCACCAGCTGATCGCTGGGGCAATGCTTTATAGGCTCCCGCAGACAAAAATAATACATTTTTTTACCTGCAATAAAATGTGCATTTATTATTTTTTCTAAAAGGTGAACTAATCCTTAAACAATTTGTATCATTAAGACAGCCATGGATGGAGTGATTTTCTTTCTTGCAACCACAGGTTGAAAGAAAGGAAAAGAATTCCCTTGATTCCCCCCCCCCCCCCTCCCATCAACACAGCGTTAATAGGGGAATCCCTTCTGCAGATCCATTGTATTCTCTGGGGTGGGGGGAGCCATCCCTTTCAGAAGAGCACAGTGCTTCTTGCTATCAGTAATTACATGTAAAATCTGACAGGCTGGTTGTACCCAAGTTGCTCAATTAATCAACTTTTAGTACATTCAGACTGCCCATTCATGGTTCGAATCTCAGCTAGTCCCTTCTGAACCGGTAGAGATTCGAACTTTCTATGGCCAACTTTAAAGTGTATTCTAAAGTGAACGTCTTTTATTTATATCTTCTCGGTCTGTTACATATACCATTGAAAGCATTATCTGTTCAAAAAGTGCACACAGTACCTGTTGATCCTGTCAGAAATGCAGTGAACTTGATTTCTGTACGCCCTTTTTTTTTCATTTTTTTAGCACAGTTAATTCTGCTCCGTTCACTTTGGACTTGCAGAACACCTCCCCTCTATTTGTGGAAGTGAGTAGAGAAGGTGTTCTGTAGTCCTAACACTTTTCTGTTCCTGGGTGGAAGCCCTGTTCCCCTGTAAACTATAGAACAGTGCGTGAGCTTAAGCTGCAATTTATAAGGGCCAGTTCACACCAGAATGCAGTGCAGGAAACTCATGTTCTGTGTGATTTTTTTTTTTTTTTTAGCACCTCATTTAAATCACACTGCAGTTGCAATTTGCAGCAAGTGTCGATATTACTTTAATGACCCCTCAAACACTGTGTTTGTACAAAAGTACCGTGTGCTGCGGTTGCAGTGAGTTTGCAAAAGTAGCGCATTCACTACTTTTTGATGCAGTGCGATTTCATGGACTGAAATCGCATTGCATAGACCTGCATTTGAAGCTGTCAGGAATGCACAGTGCGTTCCTCTGCCATTCCCAGTGTGAATTGGCCCTAAATGTTTTGTTGTCAGGTTTAGGTACATTTTAAACGTGCACAGTATTTAATTTAATGTGTGTAACACAGAGCTGTGTCTTCTAAATGTTCCCAGTGTTTAATCAGTTCTTTCCCAGTTCACGATTCTTCATTTTGCAGCATCCTGACTACTTTGTACACTCTTGTTTGCCATGGGTGATCCTAAAAGCTCTACTATGTATAGAATAGAATTACTGAGGAAATAGTCCTAATCTGCCTGTGAACTCCATAGTTGTGATTTTTTTTTTTTTGCATTTTACATGTAGTGGCACCTACTGGTGGTATTTGGTATTGTAGCTCATAAACTATACACTCGTTTGTCCATTTATGCTGCAAACCCATGTACACCAGTCTAATTACTTTCTCTCTGTGTTACATACACAGTATCTCCCAGAAGTGCGTCCACCCCTCACATTTTTGTAAATATTTTACTCTCTTTTCATGTGACAACACTGAAGAAATGACACTGCTACAATGTGACGTAGTGAGTGTACAGCTTGTATAAACTTGCTGTCCCCTCAAAATAACTGAACACACAGCCATTAATGTCTAAACCGCTGCGGCAGAATGGGGAAGAAAGGGGATTTAAAGTGGAGTTCCACCCAAAACTGGAAGCTCCACTTGTCTGCCTCCTCCCCCCCCCCAAAGGTGCCAAATGTAGCAGCGAAGGGGGGGGGGGGAGGAGGCAGACAAGTGGAGCTTCCAGTTTTGGGTGGAACTCCACTTTAAATCCCCTTTCTTCCCCATTCTGATTGCTTCAGCAAGTCGTCTTCACCATGTCTAGATGTCTAAATGCATTGCGTTGCTGCCATGTGATTGGCTGATTAGCAGTTTGTGTTACCAGACAATTAAACAGGTGTACCTTATAAAGTGGCCGGTGAGTGTGTAATATAGGAGCACTTTTTAATCAGAGTATAGCATCAAGTCAATTAAACTCCAGGGATATTGAGCTGATAAATGCTTCCCTGTTAATGTATATCTATGTATGTTTTCACACTAAAGGTGTTGCACGTGCGGTGTAAAAACTCCTGCTTGCAGCATCTTTGGGGTATGTTTGGTGAGTTTAGAAAGAAAAACACCCAAAAAACTCTTCTTCCCTTTGAAATCAATGAAAAGTGCCTGAAAAACGCCTTTGAGAAGCATTTTTTTGGTGCAGTTTTTAAATCACATGTCCTTTAAAAACGCTCAGAAAGCACGGCAAAAATGCTTCTGCGTTTTTGTTGTGTTTTTGTGGCAGATCAGTGTGAAAGTAGCCTTGCTTTGCTCCACCAATTAGCTCCAGTGCTTCATCTCCTCCCTATCCCTTTTTTAAATGTGCTAGGGCAAAGGGAACATGTCATTACAGTGCAGTCATGAATCTAGTCTCAAAGGTGCATAGCAGACAGGTGTGACCTGGGGAAACTCCAAAATCTAGTGCACTCTTATGCAGTTCTCAGATTTGTCAGTCATGCTCTCTGGTCCACTCCTCTCTGCTTTCCTGGGTCCTTTTGGAGTGATGAGCAACTTTTGTGTTGCAGCTTTCCAGTCCTTAGATGTGGTGGCTGCATTAGATATCTTTTTCTTCACTATTTTTTTTTTTTTTTTCTTTAACTTAGTTTCTTTAACTTTAATTGCCATTAACTCCCTTTCACCTCCCTCTATTCTCCATAACAAGGGGAGGCATTTTGTAGTCCATGGAGATTTCAAGGAGCAATGATAAGTGATAACAGTTCAGAGACACAGAGCACAGAAAGGTATCAGCTGCTAAATTCTTTTTTTTTTTTTTTTTTTTTTTTTTTTTTGCGCACTTGTGGAACATTCTGCATATAGTGCATTCAGTGGTATATATGACTGGCTAAAAGGGAGCCATTAAGAGAAATGTATTCTTAGGGTTTACGCAGTAATATCTTAACATTATACAGTATTAGCAAGAATGTTACCCAACTTTGCAGTACCATTGATACAACAAACCATAGTATACAGTGATACATAGTATCACCCTATACCCAAAGTAAAACGGCATCATTAAACGGCAACAAGGTATTCCCAAAGAACTATCCCATTCTATTCAAAACAAACAGTGCATATGTCTTAAATTCATAAATCCATGTTGTTTTTTATTACAATCTCTTCAGTGTGTCCTTAGTACATCAGTTCTCATCACTTTTCACCATGTTGGCTATGATGACATGGAGCAAAATGTAGACAACGGGCTTGATGTACTAAAGGAGTAAAGCATGTTATGTTGCAAGAGTTTTTTTATAGTCAAAAAACCGAAGTAAAAATCCCCTTTTAAAGTGTGAATTCCCCTGAGCCTGGGTTCACATATGTACGGCATATCGCATGTGATTCGCACAGAAAGCGCACCGCATTCCTGTGCAAATCACATGCGATTTGTGTGCGGTGCGATTGGAGCCATACATTTTGTATGGCTCTAATCGCTCCACACCCACACCAAAAAGGTGCAGGACCCTTTTTTTTGGTCCGCACTAGAATCGGATCACATGGGTATTCACACCTATGGGATCCGATTCTGCACATCGCGTTTTGCGGACCGCTTTCTGGGTGCCATTAACTTAACGTATACACCCGCAGCGGTTCGCATTAACAGGGTGTAATTCTGATGCGGTGCGGAATTTGTACAGAAAACGCTGCAAGTTCAGCTCCGCATCAGTGTGA